TCTATGAATTAGTTGATAAGGTGCCACCCTGCCTTCAGATTGACATAACTAATCACTTCTCTGTGAAAAACTGTCAGAGGCCAAACTGGAACGGGCGGCCGGGGTTGTGTGATTTCAGAGAAAGCATCATGAATCTCTGAAACCTAGAGAAATAGTGGTGAAACACTGGCTAGGGTGGTGAAGCACTGGAACGGGTTACCTAGAGCAGTGGTGAAATCTCCATCCTTGGAGGTTTCTAAGGCCCAACTAGACAAAGCCTTGGCTGGGATGATGTAGCTGGGGCTGGTCCTGCTCTGAGCAGGGGTTGCACTAGATGTGACCTCCCGAGGTCCCTTCCAACCCTCATTTTATAAGATTCTCTGGCTGGTTTTATAAGTTAAATACTTCCCCACCACCACCCTCCAAGGGAAACAGATCCAACCATTGCCTGATTTGGGCACTAGCTCTGGACAAACTTGGAGAGAAAACCATCCCCTGGCTCCTGAAGAATTCATGTGTTTCTAAAAGGTGTTCCACCTCATGCTAACTTGACCCCGCAAGCCTTGCTCCTGATGCTTGAGTCCCGATTCAGTAAAGCTAGACACAGAAGCCACTCACCTTCTGAATGAACCTGGGGTAGTGGGTTTCTGGGAAAATTCCTGAAAGTTTCCAGAGAACGGACACAGTTATTACAACAGCTGCGTTCAGACATTTCCCAGTCCCTCCCCTTCCATCCCCGCAAGCAGCCCAGCAAAAGCATTTGCAGCCACCCGGGAACCACCGTACTGGGCAGGTGTCACTAAGTCTCAGGCTTCATCACTTCCTCCTGTCATTCATTTTTGTGCACAGTGCAAGGGGAGGCGCTGATGCCTTTGCTACAGACAGCAGAAGCCCCAGCCAGGCACCAGTTACCCAGCCCTCCTCTGGTTTATGACAAGCCATTCCCTTTTCCTGGCATGAGTCATTTTTGGTGCTGTCCAGGGCACTGCCCTCATACCCCAAAGACTAAAGCTTCCATCTATGCATAAATGAGACAAAGCAGTGAAAGCTTCTCCTCAATGCTGCACCAACAGACTTCAGCGCTATCCCCCAGGGACCTCTCTGGGGACAAGAGGGATGCTCAGTGACCCTGGCCCACTCAGTCCTCAGCATCCATGATTAAACGTCCAACAAAAGGGCCGATCGGCAGTCTCCTTAGAGATGTTCCCTATTCACTGGCAAGCAGGCTGAGACCCACCAACGCATGCCCTGTTATTCTAAACAAGAACGGTTACCTCCATTGGACAAACAGAGGCTGTTGATCAAGATGCTTCCAGTTATATTATGTTCATACCTGGAGAGAGCAAACCAAAATGCTGAGTTAGATTCCTTGCTGATTCCACAAAGAGACCAAGCAACAGATCACAGTGATGCTGCTATGTCAGAAAACAAGATCTGGGAAGCAAAGTTCCTCAAGAGACAGGGCTGCAGCCGTAAGAATAGGAATAGCCGTGTTCCAAGTACCCAACACGGCCCTCCGTCTCCGTGCGACTCAGCCGCAGGACTTTAACCCCTGTTCAGACACTTGGAAACCCCTGCCACTGACTTGCCTCACTCCGAGCAGAGAGCAAAAGGCAAAATATTGCTATCTGCTGCAATATTTTCTGACGGGGGCAAAAAGTGTTTGCCTCAGAGTCCTTGGACCTGCAAACAACCATGCACTGGGGTTTCACACTGGCCCTAGTCACCAGGGACTGACAGAAGCTCTTGGCTTCTGAAGACTTGCCTCATGCACTCGTTGTGGCCTGGATAAACCTCCAGGTTCCAAAGGCTGAGAAGCAAGATAAGCAAATAGCGTGGCAAATAGGTAGACAAGGCCTCAACTACTGCACCTGGGAATTCATTTCCCACTGAAGTCAATGGAGGCCGTATCTGAGCTTCCTTCCATCTCAATCTGCACCCATCAGCAGAGTATCCCACCACCACCTCCAGCCAACATGCCCATACATGGGATGGGGAAAAGAAGGGGCTCTGCACCATTTACTTTTACTTAGCTTCAGGGAATTAGACCCTAGGAGGAGAGGACGATGAAGAGCATTCAGAGCTTTAGTGCTTCCAGTGACCTGTGGAGGAGCTCCTGCGCGACCGTGTCCCCATAGTCATGAGACAGGAGGTTGATCCTGTGGTTTCGCAGGCCCAAGTGCCCCACCAGCCTCTCAACAATGCTGGCTTGCTCGAAAATGGAATAGCGATGGGGCCGCTGTTTAGGAAGCAAAGCGAGAGAATGGTTGTGTGACTTCATTCATCAGCTAAATACAAATGGGGTGGTTTTTTTAATGGGCCAGCGGCAGCCCCTGTATAATCACATTCAGCACCTGGCCATGTCTGACACGCAGATGTTCACAGACAAATGCAGACATCCCCCAAGCCCAGAACTGAAAGCCAACAGCTTGAGGTCTCATCTCAGTCCCTGCCAATTTACTTTGTGCCCACAGGCACCCTCCACATGGTCAGTTTGCCTCTGTAGAAGGGAGATAACAAAACTCCCTCTGAGGATCTGTGATGTGTGAAACACTTGCAAGAGGATGAGCTAAGTGCTTTTCAATTTGCTCAGCAATTTGTTTGCAAAGCTACACCTACTCTAATGTAATCCCAAGCAGGTAGCCTGGAGCTACCACTTTATCTGCCCCAAGTCTCTTTAATAGATCAAGCAGAGCAAGCCATGCTTTGGAGATGAGTCAACATCCCAAGAGAACATGGTCACTTTGGGCAGGCTGCATGATGTCCCATTTCTGACATTTGATTTTTCTACCCTTTTAATTTAACAATTCCTATCTTTCTTTCTGTTCTGAAAAAATGAATACAACAACAATAGCCTTAAGGCAAGAGAAAGGCTGAAAGCAATCTAAGAGATGAACAGATGCCAGCATTCACGACTAAATAAAAGCCATCTTTCCAAACCCATCTGTGCAATTCCAGTTGTCTGGATGAGCTTTGGTCTTTACATTCATTTTCCAAAAGGAACTGCAGACTCATCCGTCAGGACTACTTACTGGCTTGTCACTGAAACCAAATCCCACAAAATCCAGGGCGATCACTCTGTGAAACCGCTGAGTCAGCCCTTCCCAAATCTGTGAAAAGAACAGGGAAGGGAGGGAGAGGAAAATCAACCACAGAAGCAGCCACATTCATATCCCTGGAGCGTGGACAGGCCTACACTGCCATATTCCTCACAGCTCCCCTCTAGGTCCTATTTTGTGCACACAAACTGAACGGCAGGGGATATTTTCCACTGGAAGAAGCCAGCGCATCTTCTAAAGAGTTATTTGTCCTCTCCTGCAGTGGGGTTTTGCCAGGCTGGCAAACCACAGGGTGTCCTCTGGTTCTGAGCTTCCATCTCTCATAAGACCTGATTCCGCAGATATATTTTCCGGCATACAATATGCTCCCAAATAAAACAGGCACCTTGCTTTTGGAAGGCAGAACGTAGGAAAAAAGATTTGTTCAGAGTCATTGCAGACTGTGTGACATAGAGGAAGTCTTCCTGGGAACGTGGCACCAGACTGTCTCCTGCAAAGCCAGACTTCCTGGACACTGTGTGCTTCCAGAAGGACTTACCAAGGCAATTCCTTAGTAGTGCACCTCAGCCCACCACGTCTCTGGTCACTGTGGTTGTGACCTCCCTTCCCGCCCTTCTCCAACCTCATTGCAACAAAAAACAGTGGCACATATTTAAAAGGTTCAAGGGTTAGGGAGCTTGTTTTTTTTGATATCGCAGTAGCCCCTCCCCATCAGAGGCCATTACAAAGTTATCTCTAGAAGACATATTCCTATTCCCATAGGTCACAAAGGAAACGCCTCCATCTCGCCCTTCATCAGCAGGAGATGGACCAGCTGGGTGGCCAAAGATGAATTTGGATCTCACAAAACCCAGCATCTAAGGGTGTTTCCCTGAAAGCTAAACATTTAAGTGGTACATTTATGGAAAAAAACATGGGGCTTTCAAGTAGGAATGACCACTTAAAGCATGGGACAAAAGCGCAGGAGCGGGAGGACTGAGGGATTAATGAGGAGTAGAAAAGACTTTCAGGAAAGGTGGGAGTGTAAGAAGGCACATGAAATGGGTACAGTGTTTTAGGCACAGGGGTCTTCAGACTAGAAGGCAGGAAAAAAGCAGGAGATGATGAAGGAAGGAGTGAGAGAGATGTGTACGTGATACGCTGGTCACAGCTTTACAGCAATAGCACACTATTGTGGGAGGGTAGGTAACTTGGCTCTGAAGGGGGCTGGACAAAAACACTGCCACAGTCTAAGGATCGTGGTACCACAAAGGGAGAAGTCCTGTCATTCTGCGATCTCTCCCCCACGATTCACCCATCAAACACGTCCACTTATTCTCCCCTGGGAGGTCTCCCTCGAGTTCCCAGGGAAAGCACAAATGGCTGGTTTGACTCACACAGTCCCCACTCTGTGCTTGCTTGTTCCTCTCACCTTGTACCAGTCGTAGCTGGAGGTTGGGAAGCCGTGCAGGAGAATGACGATGTCAGAGCTGCCGACTGCACCCATTGAATCTGAGGCGAGAACAGGACACCAGTGAGATGCACAATCATCCCAAAGAGGCCTTTAAAATAGCTTCACAGGGGAATGTAACAGGATCCTAATGCTAACAGCAATTGAGTGCTGCTAACAAGGACCTGGTTGGTGCCTGACTAATAATCAGCTATGCTGTTCATGGAGCTCCATCACAGTACCCATCTGTAGAGCCTCACACACAAAAACTCAAGACTCTGCCACTCCGAGAAAACTCAACAGGTACGAACCCTGTCACCAGGGATTTTGTTCCCCAGGCACTGGATGGAGAGAGTTTGCATTGTGCACAAGATAGTGCCACAGGGGGACTCTCTGCTCGAGGCTATCACACCTGTCTGCTTACACCCACAACCTCAGGGGTACTCAGAGTCTTCTTCCGTTTCCACAGCACCTTTCCTCCATAAGGAGCTCCCTGCTCTAGGCATGCTGAAATGGATGAGGGAGCTGTAGTACGGGACCGCTTTACCAGCCATTCAACTAGAATCAGGCCAGACCAGTGGGGCTAACCTTGCTGCTCTTGAGAAAAGTGCCCTGGGATCTTAAAGGATAAAGAGGATGTAACTATTATGTCTCATTTGCAAGGACAGTGTCTCCAGCAGCACAGCATTGCCTTCCACCATGCACACAAAGGTAAGTGTGTCATTGGGGTTTCCTACCAGATGGCTTCAGACTCATTTTAGCTTCCCCCTTTGCGCTGGGCTCGTGCCTCTCACCTCTCACCCTGATCCGCCCCATGTCTCCTTGCACGTCTCTTCCTTGCTCCCCTCTGGGTTCTTCAATTTCTCCTTTTCTCACTATTTCCCCCCCCCCACCCCCCTCCCCCGCAACGTGTGTCTTATAAAGGGTCTCCCCTCCCTGCCTAGCCACTAGCTTCCTACACACCCTCTTCCCACCAGAGTTCAAGATGCTGCTCTTTGAATCTGCCTGTGAATCTGTGAATCTTTAGCACTACCTGGTGCCACCACCGTGGAGAAGGGCCTAAAGGCCCAGCAGCAACGAGCTGCAACAAAACTCCAACTAGCTACAAGTGCCAAGGACAATAAAAAGTCCTTTTTCAGATATGTGGGGAGTCAGAGGAAAAGGAAGGGCAACACTGGACCCCTGCTGAACCAGATGGGACAACTGATGCCAAGGAAAAAGCCAACCTATTAAATGGTACTTTGGGTCGGTCTTTCATCAGTCCCATGGGACGCCCATGCCCATGACAGGACAGGGACGCCCAGGTGAGAGAGATCCCCTGCCCTCCATCAATGCTGACCTCATGAAGGAACACCTTGACAGGCTGGATACCTTCAAGTCAGCCGGCCCTGACAGTTTACACCCCAAGGTGCTCAAGGAGCTGGCGAGCATCATAGCCCAGCCTCTGGCACGGA